TGATCTCTTCTGCCACATAACAAGCAACAGGACAAGAGGAAATGGATTGGATATTAGGAAAAATTTCTTGACAACATGAAAGGGTTTTCAAGCACTGGAACAGGCTGCCCAGAGAAGTGGTTGARTCACCCTCTCTGGAGGCATTTAAAAGCCATCTGGATGTGGCACTTGAGAACGTGGTTTAGTGGTGGACTCGGCAGGATTAGGCTTATGGCTGCACTTGATCTAAAAGTTTTTTCYAAATCTACCTAAGTGCTACCATAAAATGAAATTAATGCCCCAGCTTCTGCAACTGGTGTATACACTGGGGTATACACAATGCAACTCCAGGTATACACTGATACATACACCTCCTTTATGTCTCCTTATTTTCTTGACTTTGTACAGTGCAAAAGTGTTGCTGTGAAGTTCTGCCATGATGTTGTATCTCTTTTTGACTTGTCCTGATGATTGTTTATACCATAAGGGGAACTATGGACAACCTAAAACTGGACTATCTCTTAGTTGGAAAGAATAAAACTAAAAATAAAGTAGCAGCTGTTCTGTGTAAGTGGCGTCTAGGTGAGAAGAAAGAATAGCATGGTGCAGAGGAACTTGCCTTRGATGTGGGATACACAAGATCACTTCAATATTTAATCTCAGCTTTTCATGTGAGGTGGGAATATCCGCTATGACATCTGTATCTCTCTGTTCCAGAAGTAACAGCACTTTCTAGATTTACAGTGAGTCAAAACCAGAAGTATAACAAAGATGCTTCAGYAGGCAATAAGAATATACAACAAATACAATAGAAATTAGAGATTATTCCCTGACACATCCCTGTGTTTGTAAAATTTGCTATATAGCTCTGCTAAACTAGATTGAGAATAACAAAATTCTTTAAAACCTTACTATTTTACTGGATTAACCTGCTTTTATTGTTCTAACATTTGAGTAACAGCAGCTAGACAGAGCTGAGCTCAGTTACTTCTCAGTATCTGAAATCTGATTTCTGCTCAAATTCATCTGAGCAAAAATTCTCTTGTATGGGTGCTCCAAAACATGAAAACAATTGGAGCCAGGKCACTCTTGTGCAAAATGCCGCCCACATAACACAAGCTGAGGATCTGACATGTGATGTGGCAACTACTGATGAACTGASCTGAATCTGATGCAGTGCTTTGGCTTTATAACCAATTTCCAGTCCTACAAGATTGTCTCCTCCTCATGGCCATGATTTCCTKCTTTTAGGGTCTATTCTTTATTCACTCAAATCTTCTCCATGTGTCAAGAACATCATAAGAAGAAATTATGAAAAGCAACGGGTGTAAAAATCCCCATCCCACTGTTTTACTAAAGCATTTAGAGTGAGAAAAATTAGGTGAATTCACATTTCACATGTGTTTAAATTGTTAATCTCACTGCTCTATCTGTATTAGTGAATACATTTACAGTAAGTTTCACTTTATAATATTTTGGCAGAATTGTTAAAAAAATTGTTATAAGCCTAGAAGTGGAACTGAACCATGAAAGCTAAACTGTAAGCTGCTGCAAAGCTGGGTTATTAGTATGACAGAATAAAATTTCACACACACAAAAGCTTCTAAGCTGTGATATTTTGAAAGCAAGAAGAGAGGGGTGGGTAAGGGCAATCAAAGTCGTCTATGTTCCCTCTGATATTTCACTGAATGCTGCCATAATAATATGTTGGTTTTGTCTGTTCTGTTTTCCAGGCATTTGGTGATATTAGTGAGGAAAGTCCTTTGTGTAATGAAGYGAGCACAGATCAGGACCATGGAAGRGAAAAGAACAGTGTTCTGTGTACATCTACACGTATCAAGCTGAGGGAGAGGAAAAAGCATACAGCAAGGTGCAAAGGTATTCTTTTCAGTTTCTGTGCCTAACAGAAAARCACCTACACATAAAATACCTACACATAAAATAATGGGAGGGATAGGAGAAAACCAAATAAAACATGGTATCTTTTCGGAAGGCAAAGGTACATCAGTGAGACCTGAAATTTCACAGTTCTGTTTTCCAGAGTGTCTTCRTCCCTGGGTAGTCCCATCAGCTGTTGCAAGAGTCCTGAACGATGAWGAGCTGTCCAAAACACTGTCATGCTTTCCATTCAGAATCTCAATACAGTGACACAATYCAGAGCAACCTAGTTTGAGCAAGGACCAGTGTTTAAAGTATGCTGGGAGCAGGCTAATAACAAATATTGTAAATATATTTAGGTATGTGTCCACWCATACTGGTCTAAGTGCAAAGGTCCCAATCTCTCTGCCCTGTGTTGTATTTTCCACTGTGCACTGGGAGCCACTRGAGCCCTCACAGTGCCTAGAGATGTGCAAGCAGAGGGGAACATCTCTGTCAAGTGTTCAGTGAAGTCACTCCTGACCAAAGATAGTGTCAAGATGTTTGAYGACAGAGCACTGCAGAACATGCTAGGTGTCCTTAGGCATCACTGTGATTATGAGATAGCAATTTCCTCTTGTTCCTTTTCCAGGCTCATTGTGCCTGGCTCCCYAAGATCTCTGCACTCAGCTGAGTCCTATCACTGTTTTCTGATGCCCTCTAAGGAGTAAAGTTCTTTTCAAAGAGCCTTGTGTTACTCTTGAATTCACAATAATTTTGTTTGCTAACAGAGAAACCTTGGAAAGTTCACGTGAGCACAAAAGACATATTTTTTTAAAGGAAAATGTGTAAATTTAGTGTGTAGCCTCTTGCTCCTATATCCCTTTTGCTGGGGGAGGGAGGTCATACACTGTTGTTGGTGTATTCACATCATGTATTTCTCTACATCCTTTTTTCTAATCTTCAGGAAATCCTGTTGCTTCAGACAAGAGCTAGTTCCTGCAGTAATGTGTGGTCCATGGAGTTGTTTACATCATGATTCACGGTATGGCCACTGTCTGATAGGATTTATGTTTCTGACAGCCACACCTCTGCACGTACTGTGTTGTCCTGCAAGTGTTCTCTTAGTACATCTGTGTTCTTCAACAATCTACACAATGTGGTGAACTCAAATCACGGACTGGATCATGCAAACATAATTATTTCATATGACTCTTTTTTCTTCCCCAGTTGTGGGACATTTCTAGATTTCTCAGGTTTGCTTGTTTCTGCTTTTTCAGCTCTGCTCACACCTGCTAGTTATGGTGGGGAATATAATGCTGATTTGTCTTTCAACTTTCATGTCTAAAACATCGACAGTGTTTTCAGTAACTGTTCAAAGCTCAAGTCTGTTGTAATTGCAAGACTGCAAGAATGCCCAGAAGAACAATGATGGCTTCATCCACCAGTTCTGTAGCCAAGTTCCAACATGCTGGAAAATTTACAAGATCCCAGAGACATTTTTTTCTGAGGTTTTCGTGGTGGCCATACCTGTTTCCCTGTGAACTACAGCAGCTTAACACAACCTGAAAGTTATGCTCATGCTTTCTTAATAGCATTAAAGTTAAAACCAATCAGTTCTCTTTTGTTAGAACCAGTCAGTACCTATTCTATTTGGCTCCTTACAAATTTATCAGAAATTGTCCATGTCCCAAAGGCAAGAACTATGAGAGACAACGGAAGAAGGTGGGAAGGGGAACACAGGCGAGAAAGATGAAATCATTTGTGGAAGGCCACCAAAGTCAGAGGCAAATGGAGAAATACAGGGGAGACTGCCAGCATCTTGATTCAGTCTTCCCTCTGGTAGGATCCTTTTATCCTGAAAATGCAGCTGGGAGGGGGAAGATTACCTTACTGATATTTTGAATCATTTATGCAGAAATCTGTAATCATTTAACATAGTAACCAGTGACATTTTTCTAGCATGTTGTGATTTTCTGGTGTCCTTTTTTTCACACAGGTATGGTAAAACTTTTTCAGATGCATTTAYCTTTGCAAGATCTTACCCAATATCTTGAGAATTGTTGATTATAGAATTCTTAAATCCATAGTTCTCATCCACCTGAAAAAAAGTTAAATGACATTAGATAGTAACCTAAAGGTTTAGATGCCACTCCTGAGCACAGTTTTTCTTTGGATATGCAAGATAGTGATTTGGTTTCCACTTACTTTTTTGTTGGTTTCCCCCCACCCTGTTCATTTGTGTGCATGTGCACTGCATGCGTTTTCCCCCCAGTTTATTTGCAATGTGTGTGCTTATTTTATGTCGTACACCCAGACAGAAATGGTGTGAAAAACCTTCTGAATATCTACAAGAATTGATGTGATTTTTGTGGCTTTTATTGTGTAAGATATTACTTGGATGACTTCTTTCTGTCATAACAGGAATAAAATTGYCTTTTAATGTTTGCTTTGCCTGTTGACATTTTAAACTTTTCTACATAACTTTGATAAAGAAACTAACTGAAGAGAAACCAGCCAATAACCTATTGCAGTTTCTGGCTGACTGTACCAAGAGGCTGTGGGCAGCATCTTACTCTGTGCATGTTCTTGGCCTCAGTTTGGTCTTTCAACATGACTGGCTATAATGGCAAAAATGCATTTGGGCAGTRTTATACTCTGGGTTTCTCACCACTGAGTTAAGATATCCCAGTCGGGTTCTGTGAAATTTTGACTTCARCATTGGTAATACAGTGTTGGAATTTAGTCTGATGGTAAGTCTGACTTTATGTGTGGAACCACCATGGCTTAGTTCTGATAGGACTATGTTGATTTTTCTAACAAATGTGGATCTAGTCCTGAGACTAGACTACATGTTCAGCATGAAGGACTTGACTGACCTCTTTTATTCTTCCAGTTATATTGGAATGTCTCCACTGACTTTCATTTGATCTAGGATGTACAATYCTGTGTATTACATATTTGTGAAAGCTGAACTGAAGATACATTTAAATACTGGGTAAATTTATTTTTTTTTCTTTTTAATGCAGCATCCTACCTATTAATTTTGATTTCTTGCATCCTGTGAGCTCCTGTGTTTGTTGGTCAATATGCAGTGGGTGCCACTGGCTTTGAAATTGTGTTCTGAAGTGCTTTTATCAGCAGCATCATCCATAATGCTCAGTTATAGCTGGATAGTAATTGTCTGTCTATGCAGTGTTCCTTTGCAACAATTTCCTCCTGTGTAGCTATATATATGTAGTCATTACTGAAAAGTGTAAATAAAGAATCCTTTTAGTGGTGTAGTTTCCCTGGGTACCTACTGTGCTCTTATTATCTAAAACATACTCCCCATCTGTAGTTCTGTTCTATTAAAAGATAAAGACATAACTATGAATTAAAAATTAAAATGCTTGTTGTAGATTGGAGAGCAGGGTCTATTAGAATATATCTGGCGCTAGGCTCTCAGTACAGTAGATAGATTACACTGAGCACCAGTTAAGCAAGGGGATGAAAAATGAGTGATTTTCATCATTCAGTTAAATATAGTGCTAAGTGGTATGTGCTAGCATTAAAAGCAAATTACTTAGCACTTCACCAATCACAGCATGAGAGGATTCCATTGGAAACGGTATTTCCAGTGATGCTCAGTCCTCAGTTTTATTAAATAAGCCCACTGTTAATGCTTAAGGAAGCAGTAGAAGATGTATTGCTATGATAATAAAAAGATTGCAAATGTAAAAATAAAGAGAAGCAGTACCTCATTTTAATAAATGTGGTAAGAAACCCTCCCTCTTCTTAACAACAAAACTCCRAAGTGCTGGTAGATCTATAATGTCCTGTACTTTCTTTAGGTGTTCCTTTCTTCCTAATGAATATGACCTTTCTTTTTTTTCCCCCTTTTTTATAATGACATCTTTTTTTCTCATAAATCTGCTGCCATGTCACCGAACATTTTGATGAGCTTTTCTGATTCCCTCTTATATCTCCTTGATAGCATATTATTATCCAGTAATCTAAAGATAGGGAGCCTGATCCTCAGTGAAAGTACTCTTTGGCTGCTCAGTTAAAGAAAATGGAGATGTGAGAATTTACAGTATAARAGGTTTTGACATTGAGAGCTACCTTTATATCATGTAGCAACATCATTTCCTTGACAGCAATGGGCATTGGAAGACACTCAAATCTGTTGTCTGAACATATGGAAGGTATGAGAAGGCATAAACCTTTCTCAAACCATTCCTAAGCAACTACCTCCTCCCAAACAGGAGTCACCTGTCAGGAGATSCATAACAGAATTCTTGGGAATGACACATGCAGGAGATGGTCCAAGGTCTGAGCCACACATGGGTGCATCTTCACCAGCCMCACCAAATGTTAGAAGGAGACAAAATTATGGTTCAGATATAAAAATTACAAAATCAATGAGCCCATGCATGGAGCTATTTTGACCCCTTCATTTTCCCTGTAATGTCAAAAGGGTGGCATTCTTTATTTATGGCATTTGTGTTCAACYGCTGCAAGTACGGAAGCTCTGCTTCCTGAGAAGTGGCCAGACATTGCCTGCTGATGGGAAGTAGGGAATAAAATCTGTTTTTTCCCTTGGCTTCCTATTTATTAAACTAGCTTTATCTTGACCTATGAGGGTTTTTTTTTCCATCTTATTTTATCCCCCCCRTCCTGCTATGGAGGGAGTGATARAGCAGCTTGGTGGGCAACTGATGTCCCATCAAGGTCAACTCACCACATAAGGAGAAATATGTACAAAGTGATGTAGTTCATCTATTTTTAGCTAAAATATTGGCTGTAGGTGTTTTGAATTTTCTTCTGGCCCTACATTTCAGGGGTTCTGTGGAAATTATACGATCTTCCCAAAACAGGTACTGTTTCCACTTTTTCTTAATGTCTGCTTAACAATTTAGTGAAATCRGTGTAGTCCCATACAGCAGGGGTCTTTCCATTAATAGTATAGGATAAAGATATTGGACCTGAAATARGTATTTTACAAAATCTCGACTTATTTCAAAGTTTCCTTGTGAATTTTTTTTTACAATATAAGTTCAAAACAAGACATTTAAGCAATGCTTTCTTCTCTTCATGCAGTAGATTTTTCATTCTAGTTTCCCTTTTTCTACTTAAATATTMATTCCAAAGTTGTCCTTCTATTTTTATCTTGTTTTACTAAAGTTTTATTCAATGTACTTCCTTAAACCTTAAAACAAGTGACCTTTTATTTTTTTTTAATTTTTTTTTACCAATAGAACCTTCTCAAATTATTTGAAGACGAGATATTTAACATGGTGTTCGAAACACAGAATTCTTTTTTTCTTTTTCCTGGCTGCATGTAATGGTTTTGATGCATCTTTCCTGGGTATGCCAATCCTGTCATAGACACTAATATGAAATAATGACACAAGGTTGACTTAACTAGACATAATAGGGCATATTTCTAAAACATTCTTTATGGGAGATATATGCACAGATCTTGCTATTTGTTAATGAAATTGGAGAGTTTCTTCATCTGAAACATATAATAGCCTGCTCCAAAGGTAAAGTATCCTTACATAATAAAAATAATAAAAATGAAAAAAAAAAAAAGAAAGGACTCTGCACAACATTGGTTCAGAAGAATTTTAGATCTTCACCATGCACAGTGAATTTTGGAGCAGCAGACAACTATCATTGTGTTTAAAATCAGTGCAAGAATATCCATGTACATGTGTGCTGGTGCACAGTATGAGAGCAGGACAGATTTCAGTGGCAAGACTCTGTATTTTAAACCTTTCTAGAGTTTTGTCTGTTGTTGTTGTTGTTTATTTTATATCTTGGAATGAAAAAAATCACTGTTTGAAGGATTTTGCCTTTTTTCCACAGGTATATAATAATATAATAATATCTTATAAATTAGAAATGAAAAAGCCTAAATTTTTTAAAGRTGTCATCACATGATTTTTTTTCATTAAGAAGTGTTAGACAGGAATTGGTTGCAGCTCCCTCTTCCCCCCTGCCCCCGTCCCCTCTTTTTTAAGCATTGGAAAGCTTACCACATTACATTGACCTACCAACAATTCTTAAATACTTTTTCTTATGAATCAATGGCCTTCTGCATATGTATCTGCCTTATCAGAAACACAACATTTTACTTGAATCTGGGGCTGAATGTATGATCTGAGGGCTTGCCTTTGCCCCTCTGACAGCCTGAGGGGTTTTAGAAAGAATGTCAGAGGAGCCGATAGAGGTGTGAGTTGGTTGCAAAAGAAAAAAGCACAGACTAAGAGATGCTGCATTCAGGTTGCTAATTTTTAGCTTTCCTCTTCTACCCTTGCTGTTGCTGTGGACACACGCTCTCCTTTGAGCACAGCTGTGGCACCTGAAGAGATCATCTACAGCCGCTTTTTCATGCAGGAGAAGCTCCCATGGGATCCCTCCCTCACCCATTTCAGACTGAGCAGCAAATACCTTCTGCTCCAGCTGCTCAAGCCTCACAGGGCCATGTTGAGCCAAAACAGGTGTGAGAGCATTCACACGAACAATTTTACGAGCAACTCTGAGTGCAGTCATCTCTGAGAGAAGGGTGGTGAGGACAGGTGGGAGAGTTGTCATTCCTTCATCCAGCACAACTGCAACTGAAGTGGATTTCTGCTCTGTGTGTGTGTGTGTGCATGTGCATGTGTCTAGTTTAAAGGTTTGTTGGGAAGTCCTGTGTTTCTTATTTGATTATGGATGTTGTGAGTGATAAGACAGACCTTGAGGTAGGAGTCCTTACAGACAGCCCAGTGGCTGGGGATGAAACAAGGACTTTAGTGCTCATTTCAGGCAGAGACAAAAAAGAGAGCAGGAAGTGTTCAGAAGTGCATATTACATTCCATAAAATGTAATTTATTATTATTATTATTATTATTATTATTATTATTATTATTATTATTATTATTATTATTATCCTTTCAACTATATATTCTGGTGCTGAGAATTTACCTAATTTGCCTGATTTACCACTCACGTACCTAAAAAGTAACACTAAAATGGGAGTTGCCAACCAGCTTCAGACTTAACAACACTGAAGAAGGAACAGAAGCCTCTGTGTGTTCCTTGAAYACAATGGACATTAGCCCTAAGAACCAACAGGCTGCTGGCTTCCTCCAGAGCATGTGCCAGCTGCTCTGTGGAGCTGAACACAAATCCATGCAGCGGATGAGGAATTGTGTTCACTCTGCAGGCTGGGAGTTTCCGCAGTCCAAGCTCTTACACTCCTGGACTGGATGAAACAAAAAGATGCTGAGACTGAGGGGCCCAACCAGAGGACTTCTCAAGGCTTCTGATCAGATGAGACATGAACAGGGGAGGAAAGGGGCTTTGTACAAGGTCAGAGCTTTGTCAGCGAAGGCTGCAGTGTTTCTACTGGCTCTTCAAGGTTCCAGAAAGGGGAGTGATTTGCCTGGGTAATTAGGTCAGGATTGTGGTAGTTTGGCTTCCTTTTATCCTTGTTATGTGGATAACTCGGATCTAATTTTTCTTCTCCACGGACTCAGCAGTACAATTTCAAAACTGACATGGTGCTTATCAGAAGTTAGTAATTGGA